CGATCGAAATGATCATAAGTTGAATTAAAATATTGATACCTGACAATATCTTTATTTATTTATCATCAGAATAAGATATTGTAATGTCATTTTTCTCTCAATGTGTTATTCTATTATATCATATTTTGACAAATTCTTCAAATCTGACACAGAAGTTACTTATTATTATATTGCTAAAGGGCTACTTTATACCAAGTTTTGAATATTTTGAATAATACTTGTGAAATAATACATTTCTAAAATGTATCATTCCCGTTGTGTTCAATCCCGTTTTTCTGGAAACTAATTTTAGTGGGTTTCCTTTATATTTTTGCGAGGGACAGAGTTAATAGGGAATTTTTGATATATTTTCCGAAAAAGGCAGGCACAGCATAGTGGATATTGTATGTCACGATAATGAGCATTGTATTGAAAATCAAAGAAATGCCAATCTCACAGGGTGATAAAAAACTTCTCTCATTTAACATAATACTATAATTCTCACGAGACATTGATGTTAACATTAATATTTTCCAGATTGTCAAAAAGGTCTACTTCTTTATGGTCTCACAAATCTTGCAAAAATGGGTGAAGATAGTCTGGACAAAATGGATCCATATCAACGAGGAGCATCTGTCATCGGTAAGCTTTAGTGTATGTTCTCAATTTTTACCAATAAAAGAACAGATCTTCAAAATTAACTGTCTGCACTATGAAATTGATCAGGTCTTGGCATGTTGAATTCAAAACCCAGTGGCAAGACAATATTCGGTTTATAATCTTTAATGTTCAGTGTTGACTGGACCCGAACATGCATCGCCATCGAATCAAAATTCTCATGGGCGCCAAAATGAGAAATTCTGCAACCAAAGCTGGATTATAGAGACAAAGAACTGTGAGCTGGTCGTCTCTTGAAAGTGCGTATACTTGCCAAATCCCAGTGCACGACGCATTGCCTATCAATTACGTGCGCGATGTTCAAATTGAGTAATATATAATTTCGTTATGAAATTTCCACCCACATCTTAATTGGCAAAAAATCATCATTTTGAATAGCCTGGCTGTCATATAAGTACACAACATTTACTTTAAGACATCCTGAATAAATAAAAGTTATGTAATTCTCGTATAATTATTACGTTCACGTTTGTATAATGTATTGATAATATGTATAATACACAAATGATATCTTTTCATTTAGTTTTTACATTTAATCCATATCTCGTTTTGTCCAGGTGTCTCTTTATAAGAAGCTCTGATGTATTTTGGATTGGATGGTGTCCTAAAAATTTTGATAAATATGACATAAATATTTCCTCTTTATTCAATATTTTATTTTAATGTATATACTTTCTTGAAATTGAATCAAATTCCATAATTTAACACAATACAAAACACTATTTTTCTATTGCTGTACTGTAAGATGGAAACAAGTAAACTGATTTTTAAAAAAAGTAGAACATTATTAGTCAAACGATCAATGAAGAGATATTTTTAGCATATCAATTGTGAAAATTCTAAGAAGTAAAACACCTGCATTCTTTTACACAAAATAGTAAATAAAAATACCTGTCTCATGATGCAAATGTATCAATCTCATATTAATAGGTAAAAATTTTTTCGGATTGAATATGACAGCAAACTGATTTTTTAACACATACTATCTAAAGCTAATAAAATTGACGTCAAAAAAGAAAGTCTATTTGTAAGTTGTTTGAGAGGTCTCGTAAAACAGGCCTTTTCAATTTGCTCATTTCTTAGTGCCAGACTCATATCAGCCTATCTTGCAGAGTGAAACAAGTCCAACATAATCAACATGCTATATAATGGTCAATATACATTTGGCAAAAATCAGTCATAACAATTACATTTTCAATCATAATTAGTGCAATTATAAATGCATTTTAGTTTGAATCATTTGCTGTCTGAAAATTTACTGCCCTTGTCAATTGCCTAATGGACCTATATGTACAAGTTTGCATCTGAATGTAGAAGTTGGTTATGAACTGCAGTGAGCATTATATAATCATATCATTACGTAAAACGATCATTACTTTCCTCAACTCTCAAGAAATCAATTCCTAATGTACTTCAACATAAAAACTGTTGGGTACAGTTCTGCATCTTCCTCTCTTGACAGTATTCTTTATCTAAACCGTGCCTGAAGATTGAAATCAATATAATGTTGTCTGTCCAAAGTAAGATAAGAATATGACATAATTGAGAATAAGAATATATTAAAATAAAATAAAGTTTTATGTAAAATAAAAATAAGACAAGACTTCAACAGTATATTCACCATTTTTTAAATGTATTTTAGTTTGGGAATCGATGATGAAAGGCAGCTTCAAGCCAATGGAGACATCATCACAGAACCACAAAATTTCTAGTACAGAAGGTGAAAATGGTAAGCAAATTTTACACAACTTAAAGCGCAGTGTTTAACTGTCATCCTAACTGTTTCCTTCATTTTCAAGCATCCCAATTTATTTTTGCTTTCATGTATCATCAGTTGTGCTACTAATTAGTATGTCTTCTTGTAGTTTCCTACCTTCCAACACACAAATGTGTTTCTCTTTATAAATTGGAGTCAGATGAGATTAGGAAGTTTAACTGTGTTTTTTTTTACTGCTTAGTAGGGTACATTAAGAAAGTTACAATTAGAATCCTTTGAATGCAGTTCAGGCAATGAAAAATATTTAAAGAACATAAATGTAGTTAGCTTCATAATATTTTTAATGAACAAAAATTGGAGGATGGATGAAAAAAAAGCAAATTTGTAGACCTATGATCATTTACTGTAATGAAAACAATGACTGTAATATTTGTTTCACAGTAATACAGAAGACACATTTATGAAATAAAAATAATGCTATTTATCATGTTAAAGTGATGTTATTAGCTATGATTAGTTTAATTCTCTGCGTTATTATGCTTCCAAAACAAATCTCCCCTGTCATGGAGCCTTGTCTCAGTGCTGCTAGGACTTGGAGTACACTAGGATATGCAAATAGGAAAAATAAAATTTGCAGAGAATGGTTGCAGGTTTAAGTCCTGTGCAAGATATGGATGTTTTCACCATGTAGTAACTGTGGTGTGGTTGGCGTCTCATACAGATGTGTATCTCATCTAATCCATTAGTGAGATCTATTACTTGAGTTTCTCTGCATGTTCGCTGTTAGATATTGAACAGAATGATAGTTTCCATTATTATTAATCTATCATCATTGTCTTTCATGATCATCCTACCATCCTTCACATAGTAGAAGGCAATGTCATATAATTACTGCCATTACTGGCCTTAGAAAGGAAGGGCATGAAAGCCACCTCTCTCAGGTACACTCCAAAATGAGTATAGTTGACATTGCATTTGATATTTGTTGATAAGGACAAAACATGCCTAATCATCCTTCGCTCTATCACTATCAGGTATATAGTTGGTACCTATATTTAGAAAAATATATTCAAATTAACTGTGATTTTTTGCCATGAAATTTCTTTTACTTGTGAAATAATAACAAAAATATTAAATTTAGAAAAATTATTTAATTTCAGAAACTGGAAGTGGAGATAATAATTTGGGATCCCAAGTAGAAGCTTCATCAAACATTCCTCATTATGCAACAACTGACAGCCAGAAATACATATCAGGTCCAATGATTGTGAGAGTTCTACCGAATGGAAGACCTGTACCAGGTATATTTACTGCAAAAAAATATACATTTAAATATCTTCATGTGTAATTCAAAATGTGTATGGAATACAAAATTAGAATGAGTCATAATGCTAAATAATTTTTCTAAAGGAGAGTCTCATCTACCAGCTCTAAAAGATGAAGATGCAGAGGATTTTAAACTGATGAGCTCCCATCCACCATCAGAAATAATGCAGCTTGCAACTGGGGCCAACACCCAACAGTTTGCACATAAAGTGGCATCATTTGATGCAATGAGTCATGTGCATAAGTTGGCGACTTCACCTTAGATCATTTGCAAAGTTAATGAGGAAATGTAAGTAATTATATTGAAAAAAGTGAAGTTCTCAACTAAAGGAATTTGAGGCAACGTAATATTTTTTTATGTATGAGAAATATTTATATACTGTTTCCAAAAATTAATTCAGTATAAAGACAATAATGTTTGAATGTTGTTTGAAAACAAATTGTACGTGTATCAATATATCCTATTGCATTCTGAAGCAAAAGTTTAAAATTTCAAAGAAGTCATGGAATTTTTGAGGAAACCAAAAGATTGTTACAATGTTTCTCTTGTGGAAATACGTTTTTGTTCCAGCCTTTGAAATGTTATTAGAAAAGTAATTGTTTAGTGTTGAATATACATTCATTCAGATTATGTAACAAATTGACAAGTATTTTCTCTATAACAGTTTGTCAATTTTTTTTTACAACCATCAAACCATTTGAGAAATGTTGCGTTGCATATAAAAATTGTTATTTAGAAAATTTTACCTCTGTTGAACAATTAAGTGAAGAAGAAGTAAAACATGACCAATACATTACAGTTCATAACAACAAAGGAGATCATTTGGAGAATTGAGAAGTAAAGTAAATCATTTTACTAAATGTAGTAAATTATATCATTTATTTATATTAGAGTCTGGCAGAGGGTTTTTCTGCATTAAAAATATCTTTGGAAAAATGTTTATCAGTTGTGTAAATATATAAATGTGCTTTCTTGAAGATTGTAGGTAAAATATTTTGGAAAATATACATGCTTAAAAAATGTATGAAGTTAAAATTTGTGCTGACGGAAACTATTCCTTTTAAAAAAGAAAGTCAAAAGCTCTTTTCATTCTCTGATATTAACAAACAGTTAACTGAATGACAACAGAAAATTGCCATTCTTACACTGAAGTTTCTCATATCTCAGTGCCAATGGTGTAGTGTAGAACCTGAGTATTGACACAATTCAAAATTAATTATAATCAAAATGCTTGGCACAAGAGCTAAGAAGACTAGCTTCTTTCATCTTTATATTTACTGATTTATGGTTGTATCAGTATCCCAGTATAGAAGTTATCATCAGTACAAATTGAAACTAATATTATGGGTGACTGAACAGAAGCTTTAGCAACTTTTAAGCCCATAAGCAAACAAATGAATTATTGTATTGAAACTAGTAGCAGTTTAAATACTATGCATGTGCAAGTTATAAAGCTAAAAATGTAGCACATTCATTGTGAGGATTCTTCTTATGTACGTACAATATTTAATGATTTTTATATAATTTAATTAATAAATTTGTTCCATTAAGACATTAAATTTTTTGAAAATAAGTTAGGTACATATTCAAATATCATATATTAAGAAAAGAAAGATAAGAATACTTAAATTTTCATTTCTGAATAAAGATTTATTCAATACTTACCCATCAGTAAATTTTCTCTTTTAATACTGACCATTTATCCACAAATCATCTGTGGGTCCTGTTTGTTTGAGATCTCTGAAAATTTGGATGTGGCTAAGTCAGAATTTTAGAAACATACTTCATCAATTAGGTCAGTTCAATACTTTAATCTGTAAGTTCTTTTGTCTTCATTCTGTAATATACAAGTTTGTCACATTAAAAAACAGAAATCTGGCAAAAAATATTAATATTCTGTGAAGTAATATTGAGGCAGAAAAGTCATGTCATTCAATTGTATATTACTATTATAATGGCATTAAGATTTTTTATTATTATAATTATTACAAAATTAATTTATTGAATTCAACAAATATTGAAATATGAAAAATGTATGTGATTACTAAAGATGTCTGATATTATTAAAATATTACAAATTATCTGATTGTATACAAATTTCAAATTCATTTTGCTAGATAATTGTTCTTGTAAAATAATAATATTATTGCAAATTCTGTTATTTTGTAGACAAGATTTTTTAATTATTTCTGATAATTGAAATGTGCATATTTGAAATGAACACTTCTATGAGCAACTACATAGACAACATTACAATAATATTTCAAAGAAAATTGATTGTTTCAAAATATGTTTTTACTACACTGCTATGGATGTCATATAAGAAAATACTTTTCAAATTCAACTCTTCTGTAAAAGCACAAATATCAAAATTTCAATATAAATAATGTTGCTCATAAAGTGTTTATAGCTACACAACACTATGTAAATAATTAATTATAAACATATGTGAGGAGTCATTAATTGTTACAAGTTCTCTCTTCATGAACTATAAGTTTTATTTTTTGTAATGTATTTATCAGTGAATATTTATTCGTATTATTGCTTTTATAAAATATTATGCACTAGTATAATTATTTTTATGTTTAATTTATTGTTAATAAGATATTTATATTTTGTGCAATACATCAGTAGTTGTTTACCTGATTTGTACAGTTATTAAAATTCATGTTGAAAATAAAAATTGTCTTGTAAATAAAAGTAATCTTTTTTATTTTTTTTAACTAAATAATTCACTTTTTTTCACTTTCTTTCCTAAATGCAATCCTTCCAATGAATGCGGATTTAAGGGGACCCAGAACATGCAAAAATGTTAAAAATATAGTTTTTTACTTTTTTGAATCATTAATTAATTAATAGATTTTTGTGTTAAATAAGCCAAGTTTTATCTTAATATGTTATCTTTAAGTATTTTTGTAAAAGTTTGGAGGTATGTGGAGCAGAAGAGGGCCTAGTCATTTTTTCACATCGTGGGTGACCTTTCTTTTCTGCATTGCCGCGAGATATAGTTAATAGTTTGCTATCTAGTGTTGGACGCACTGTTTCTGGTAACAATTGAGGGTTGAATAGTGTCAAAATATTGGTGTGTGTGTGTTTGCCAACATATGGACCAGATATGCATTGAAAATTTTAGGAACCATTTCCTGTAAGAATAAAATTTTTATTGTTAGGGAATATTTTCTTAAAAACTAAAGGATAAATAAAATAAAAATATCGATATATAAAAGGATGCACCAAATTTAACAGAGCATGTAACACACTAGTTTATATACTTTAACGGGCAGATTTGTAAAATGTTAAATACTTTAGACAATAATCTTATAAATGTTAGTATTTTTAAGAACAAAACAGATTGTAATAAACAAAAATTTATAAATAAAAAATTAGTAATATTTTTTAAAAACGGCTTTGTCAAAATACTTATACGAATGAAAATACTTCTATGAATCTGTACTCACATAAAATTTCAAGTCTGTAAATTGAATATTTTCTCAGAAAATGTTCCTTACATTATCATTGGCAAAATAGGCCATTTCAGTTCCCCTTAATTACTCCTTCAGCAATAAACACAAAGAGTCCCTCTCACCAAATATGTTGGCTATTTTACTTTCTCATGTACTGCATATGTATTATAGAGAAAATACTGTAATGCTGCAGTAAAAAGAAATAGTTCCTCCCTCGCTGCTTTTGCTGAAAAGATTATTTACCAAGATGGCTGAAGAATTGGTGGGATACAATTTACAATATTAAATTATAAGTATTACATATCTTTGCAGATAAAATGAGAAAGTTTATGCTGTTGGAGCACCACTAGTTTTGTTCGGTAACGTGGGCTAAGTGTACCCCAGATTTTAGTTTATCTTTAAATTACTTTAAAATATCAATTTTTAAACCTACAAATTTCTTGTTTTTAAAGAAAATGTTATTTTTCATTCAGTTTTGAATTAAACATTCAGAACCACATTTTCCATTATTTAAGATTAATAATTCAGTTCAGTTGTCCCTGGTATTCACATGTCCTTGTCTTCAGAGTTAAGTGAAAAAGAGATCTCAGATAGTTTCATAGTAAAGTATTTAGTCATACGTTTCCACAAGATTGGCACCAGAGCCAAGTCACAAATGCCCTATTTGTCAGTAGTTAGGAACACATCATCTTCCATGGGCTTCTCGTTCTCCTTAAGTATACTTTCTATAAATACCTTCAAATCCTTACACTCGTCAGAATTTCTTAAATTGTAATTGTCGTTTTCATCATATGTTGAACTTTTCATTGCATTCTTATGCATTCACATGCATTCTTTTCTTCCTTTTTATTTTCTGCCCATATTTCCTCTCAGTTAGTGTTTTACACCTTTAATGCTTTGCGCTCTTAAAGTACTCTTCAGTTTTCTTTAATTTTTCTTATTAGGTCTATGCAACCTGCACTTCATCCAAACTTATAACTTCAGATTCCAGATCTTTCTCTCTCTTTCTCTTTTTTCCCTTTCTTTCCCCTTCTTTCTCACTTTCTCTTTATTTCTCTTTTTTTTTGTTCAACTTTCTTTTAGCGTCGGAACGAGAGTAGCTGTATGGCTGATTATGTAAGGAAAACGTTGAAAAAAGAACTTTGAAGAAACACTGAATTTTCAACTCATAGTGACTTGAACTTATAGTGAGTTTTAACGTATTCTATTGTATTCTAAATTACACTACTAGAGCGCTCAAAAGCGCCAAACGCTGGTTATATGAATATTTTTACTTCCTCGCTACCAGTTACCTCGTAGAAAGTTGTGTAATGCTGCTGTAAAAAGCGGCGAATTTTCGGCAGAAAAACTTTTATTGCTGGGCCCTGGTAATGAAAAAGTGGATAAATCCAGTTTCTAAATTTAGGGGGGGGGGTGTCTTCTAGCACATAGTGTTGCCATAATCCATGTTTTGTGGGTCCTTGGTTCCCAAAAATCGATTGGCAGCAAAACGTCTGTCCATGAACTACGCTAGCGGCTAAACCGTTCAGCGGATTATCTCCAAAATTGACATTCCATTAACGATCTGGCATATGTCGCGGCTTCTTGCATTTGAACCCCAATTTTATTTTTGGGAGGAGGGGTATTTTACATGAAGCCCCTAGGACAATTTCAAAATTTTCAAAAAAATCGCTTCAACGTTTTTGATTGAACTTTGTTAATGGCGGTGTGAAGGATCTTTAAGAGAATGGCATAGATCTCATGTTCGTTAAAAACCCAGATTTTTCGGAAATTGCAACAATTCAAAATTTTTTCGGCATCTTCGAACAACTAAATTGATAAACATTGAGATTTTTTCCTTCATAAAATGTGTTCCTTAAAGATAGATTTTGGAAAAAAGTCATGTATAACTTTTTTAAAATTTGAGAACTTTTCTCGTAATTTTGCGCGAAAGTACGGGTGAGAGTGTACGTGCTGTTTTAGCACCACTAGTCTTGGTGAAAGTACAATGATGGAGTTAGGGGGGAGGTGGCTGTTCGCTCCGGGTGACACCCTTTTTTGAGTGACACCAATTAGAAAATTTTATATTTGAATTACACTACGAGAGCACTCCAAAGCGCCAAACGCTGGTTCTAAGAGCATTTTTACTTTCTCGCTACCTCTTACGCAGTAGAGAGAATGTAATTCTGCGGGAAAAAGCGCCGAATTCTCGGCAGAAAAACACTTATTGCTGGGCCCTGGTAACGGCCCTGGAAAAACCTGGATAAATACAGTTTTTATATTTAGAAGGGGAGAATCCTCTAACACGTAGTGTTAGGTGTCAAAAGAGGAAAATCTTTGAAAATAGACAATTAAGACAATTTTAAGCAAATTTGGTCTAATAGATGACGTGGTTATTCCGAATGGTTGAGCCGCAATAAGCTCTCAAAGATTGGTTTGAAAAATTGCTTTCTATGCAAAAATTTGCATTGCAGAATTTGCATTGCATTGTATTTGCAATGCAACAACCCAGAAAATCTGCATTGCATAGAAACAATCCAGACACATGTAAATTGTTTATTATTTACAAGAAGGAGAAGGAGAAGGAGAAGGAGAAGGAGAAAGAGAAAGATACAGACGATATACTTGAGGAATACAAAGTATTTTTAGGAAAAGTTTTAAAAGAGTCCAAAAACTTGGGGATGTAACACCACTCGCATCTAGTGAGCCTACGCCACTATACATTTTATTACTATATTTCGTTCCCTACTACCCTTCCTTTTTTCTTTTACATCTCTTCTAAACGAATGTATTTTGGATCTTATATTTTGGAACAAATTCTCTAGGAGCCTCGATATTACGTAACGGCACAAAGGGGGCGAGGGGATTTGAGGCAGGGTTACACTGCGTTACATAGGGAAAGGGGGCGTTAGTTTAGTGTTACCTAACGTTAATATTTTTAACCCATCGTGCGCAACCCATCGGTGCGCAACCCATCGCACACACTTCTTCTTCCATTTTTTATAGTTCTGTATCTTAAAACATTCAATATGTTCAATTCTCTGTTTGGGGGAGAAACATGGTGTAAAACGTATAGTTTATCGACCCATGCTTTAAACCTGTTAATTCCAGAAATTGAATTCTCTGCATCGGAAACAAAGTTCAAGTCTGTGATTCGCACAATGCCAAATAATAAGAAGGGGAATTTTACTTTAAAAAATTCCTCGTCAGCCATCATTATTATTCCCTAATCTTTACCGCAAAACCATCACATGTTAGACTTAGAATATTATCCAAAAATTAGTTTGCCATTCCATATGACTGAAAACATTTAATTACAGAATCCAACACATCTTTGGAAGTTACATGATTAAGCTCAACCAGGTGTAATAATAAATTAAATGAAGTATGTACTTCTTCTTCTAGCATACAGAATCGTATAAATTCATTTTGACTACATTTTTTACCAATAGCAGTTGATTCAACAATAAATAATCCAATTTCAGTACCTGAATGGACTTTTATTTACTGATGATTTTCGCATTTCAAAACTAATGTGCACACAATGTTAGCAAAAGCTTTATTCGATTGTAAAATGCGTCCCATATTACGTCCACATAATACCTGCAAATAAATTTCTGTTTCAAAATTGTTATAGTGCTAATTTTCTCCGACAACTTTATATGCAGTGCGAAAAACATTGCAATCACATATTTCTCATAAGAACACTTATTCAATATTATACTCTCAAATGTTTCTTTTTTACCCTCCAAAATTATATTCTGTGCTATTTTGTCTTACACTTTCTTTGCGTTCGAACTTTTTTCTCAAAGAAGTCGGTTACTAATTGCTTCACATTTAACATACAAGTCATAACATTACACCATTTATTCAAACTAAAGTATATTGACAATATATTAAAAGTGCAGATCTCTGCAAGGTTGCAAATACTGCAAACATCTAAGGAGACAGATCCTGTCTTTAATCGTACGCGAGCCGAAGTCATGCTATCAAAATCATTACTTTGAAAATGCACTGAACATAAGGTAGAACAATACGTTGGGATCCCGAGTATTTACGGATCGTTTGGAAAGCTGAAATACATTACTTTAATATAAATTGCACATTTCAAAATAGTTTAAACAATACTTACGTGTGAAAGGTTATACCTGGCACATTTTTACCCATTTTTTCGCGCAACCAAATGCAACACAAGTGAGCATGGTATGACTCTTTCAATACACCAG